CCTCAGAATGCCGATTTGCCTCCTCTTCTCCCACAGCATTATCAGCAAATTACAAAAACACATCCACCCAAACACAAGTCCTTTACTCTATGGTGTGAATTAGGAGGGTAATATCAAACATATCCCCTTCCACCCACACCACCACGTTTTTCTTTCTGTTCTTCGTGTTTTTTATGGATATTAATCCAATGGAACGGACCATCAAGAATAATACATAAATATAGATAAATACAATTTGTTTTTATATTATTATTTTTTACTACCGTTGGTCATGGGGAGTACGCATTGGTAATGAAATTACAATGGATCTCGGAGGTGGCAGAATATGCATTTTTTCGCCTCTCCGAGTCCCCTCAGCGGCCAATCCAATTTCCACCACTGGAGGGCATAATTGTTACTATATCTAGGGTACCTGCCACTCCTTTTTTAGCAGCATTCACACCAAGGTGCAATATGTAAAAGAAACTGCTGCTTATGGTACACTGATTCGCGCCCCAGGACCTTCTTGGATAAAGTTTTGTCCCAGTACGATTCTGCTGTTCCCGGTGCCGTATGACGTTTGTAGCTTATGAACCAGTAAACTCTCAAGAAAAGAATTTGCTGGCCCATGGCTTCCCTCAAAATAATAAGGGATAATGGGCATTGGCTCCAACTTTCGATGGCCAGTCGCCACCAAGGGAATTGCATTCCTAAGAACGCATGTATTGAAAAGAAAAATAAAAAGAATTTGCTTTTTAAGGAGACGACCTCCTTCAAAAATTTAGTGAGTGAGTTTGGTTTCCTTGAATAAATTCATATACCCCACCTTGACACCATATGAAGGCAGACCTCATTACCAAGGGCATGTTGGTGCAAAACCCCTCCCGAGGCGGCCACCCCAACCCAACCCATGGGAGGCAGAGGCCCGCAGCCAGAGCGCGACACGCGGCGCCGCAAACAAAAGCGCAACCACCACCAGTACATGAAAGCACAAATCACGACGGCAAAAACCAGATGGCGCGCCTGGCACCCCCAAAAAAAAAATACAGGGGTGGGGTCCAACCCCGCCACACGGACAAGTCCGGGAGGACCCGGGGCACCGCCCAACTCCACCAAGGCGGAGCAGCACAACGACACAGAGGCCACGAACGACCAAAAAAGAAGAATAAAAACCAGTAGA